GTGACATCTTATGTAATAGTAGTACATTATCAAACCCAGGAAATTTATATTAGTACATTCATGTTAACTGAACTACAGTTTATTCACCATTCAAAATATGCATATATGTGTATCTGTAGTTTTTTTGTAGTTTTATATCATGTATAGATTTTTATAATTTTTTATTAATATTTTATGTGATTCAGTATTCATAGAAAAGCAAATCTAGAAGCAGTTACACTTGGGGTCTTATATTCTGTTAACAAAGAAAAGGTTATTTTGGCTTTAGGGAATGATTAAAAAGTGGGGAAATGACTCGGAAATATTTGGGGAAGCTAATGGAAGTTATTTTCATAAGGTTTGTTTATGCAAATTCTTCTCAGTGTCAGTTCTGTGTCTCTGATGAGAAGAGTTGCTCTCCTTTTCCTTGTAAGGGAGAGAGGGACACCTTCACAAAGGGGAATTTATGCCTTGCTTTTGAGGGCAGAGAACTAACTCTTCCTGTTATGTATTAAATCTCATTTCTTTTCAGCTAAAAATAATCCTTATGCCAAAGTAGCATATTTTGGGGTTATATATCCTAACCCTCTTAATTTTTTGAGGTTAACTTTTTTCTCTAAACACAATGCTTAGTCTGTGAGGTAGTTCATTTCTTTTCTGAGTAATTTTCCTATTTTTAAATAAGGTTCTCTTAGTATTTTTGAGTGATATATTTATATATTCCAGACATAGTTCCCTTATCAGGTATATGATTTGAAAGTATTTTCTCTCAGTCTGAGAGTTAATTATCCTTTCACTTTTTTATGGTAGTGTTTTGAAGTGGAAAAGTTTTTTATTTTTATGAAGTCTAATTTATCTATTTTGGGGGCTATCCTTTTTTGTCATATTTAAGAAATTTTTACCTAAGCCCATGTCACAAGGGTTATGTTTTTTCCTAAGAATTTTATAATTTTAACTCTTAAAATTAGATATATTATCCATTTTGAGTTTATTTTTTGTATCTGTTATAAGATAGAAGTCCAACTTAATTCTTTTGCCTGTGGAGATCCAGTTATTTCAACACCACTTGTTGAAAATACTGTTCTTGCCTGGCTGGTGTGGTTCAGTGGTTGAGCATTGACCAATGAACCAGAAGGTCCATGGTTCAATTCCTGGTCACTGCACATGCCCGGGTTGTGGGTTTGATGTCTAGTAGGGGTCATGCAGGAGGCAGCCGATTGATGATTTTCATCATCTCTCTCTTTCTCTTTCTCTCTCTTTCTCTCTCTCTCTCTCAAATAAATAAAAACATTTTAAAAAAGAAAATACTGTTCTTCCTCCATTGAATTATTGACACCGTTTCAAAACTCAGTTTACTATAACTTATAGCATTTATTTCTGGGTTCTCAATTCTATTCCACTGACCTTATGCCAGTACCATGTTATCTTGATTACTGCAGCTTTGTGTGTGCTTACACATCAGGAACTATAATTCTTCCAGCTTTGGTGTATTTTGTAAACATCATTTTGACTATTTTGGGTTCTTTTCATTTCCATATGCATTTTAGGATCAGCTTGTCAGTTTGTTAAAAAAAAAAAGGCAGCTGGGGTTTTGATAAGGTTATGTTGAATCTGTAGGTCAATTTGGGGAGTATTATCAGCAAGGCTGAGATAGAGTAAGCTGGGGAAGAGTGATAGGAGATAAAATTGGAGGAGGAGGCCATGTTACATATACTTTTTATATTATACTAGAGGCCCGGTGCACGACATTAGTGCACTGGTGGGTGTGAGGGTCCCTTAGCCCAATCTGCACCCTCTCCAATTTGGGAGCCCTCAGGGGAGCCCTCTCCAAGCTGGGAGTTTCTGTCTGTCTTTGCAATCAGATGAGTGAATTGTCTGAGACCCCAACTCAGTTTGGTTTGTTGCTCACAGATTAATAGAGGCATTTTTCTTTTTCTTTGCTTCATTGGAGATTTCCTGGAAGTTTTAGGATATCTTCCCTTTAAGTGATGGTGAACCTATGACACGCATGTCAGAAGTGACACGCGAACTCATTTTTTTGGTTGATTTTTCTTTGTTAAGTGGCATTTAAATATATAAAATAAATATCAAAAATATAAATCTTTTTTATATTATGGTTGCAAATATCAAAAAATTTCTATATGTGACATGGCACCAGAGTTAGGTTAGGGTTTTTCAAAATGCTGACACTCTGAGCTCGAAAGGTTTGCCATCACTGGTCTAGGAGATCCATCTGCCACCGGACTACAATTCCCAACATTCCTGGTGCTCCGCACACTCTGGGCTTCCACTTCCAGTCCTGGGGCTGCACCAGAACTACTATTCCCAGAATTCCTGGTGCTCCCTGTGCTCTTGTTTTTTTCCTTTCTGCTCTGTCTCCATACCATGGCCCATGGCCTCCCACTCTGCCAAGTCCTCCAAAGCCTCCAGGTCTCCCTCTATGCTCTCCATCTGGCGGTTTGAGGAGCCAGGTTCCCCAAGCCGCTCCACTCTCCACCAGCACCTGTGTATGCAAATTAACCCACCATCTTTGTTGGGTTAATTTGCATACTCATGATTGGCTGATGAGTGTAGCAGAGGGACGGTCAATCATGTTTCTCTTTTATTATATAGGATAAGAATTTTTGGCTTTTAATGGGAATGAGAAAAACACAGGATGATTTTTTTAAAAATAATTCTTTATTATTGAAAGTATTACATATGTCCCCTTTTCCCCCCATTGACTCCCTTCCAGCCCTCCTCCCCCCAACTCCCTGCCTCACCCCAGGCCTTCAGCACCCTATTGTCTGACACAGGATGATTTTGAGCAAAACACTGACCTGATTAAGCTTATAGGTTAAAATAAATGATCTGGCTGACTTCTAAATATATCTCAGACTCATTAGCAACATTTCTGCCTCTGGAACTTTGTGTTTTTTCTTCTCTCTACATGGAATACTCTTCTCCCAGATAACTGCTTGATTTTTTTTTAAAAAATCTCGTTTACATCTCTGTGTAAATGGAACCTTATTGATGCTAACTACCTTATTAAGAAGACTAACATTCTCACATTTTTAAAAAATACTTCTTTTTGTTTAAAATTTCTCCTTAGTGCTTGTTATGCAGCATACAATATATTTTGTCATGTGTTTATTATTTGTCTTTTTCCACCTGAATTTAATCCTCATGAGGGTAGAACTTTTAGTATGTTAATTCATATGTGCCCACTGCTGGAAAAATAATTGGCACTAGTTGGTGCTCAATAAATATTTTTGAATGTGTGAAAGTATATTCTACTGCATTTTCATTAGTGTCATATTTTAATTTTCATACATTTTTTGTTACTAATTTTATCTTTTCTATGCTTACTTTTTATAGCATCTTGTTCTTATTTTATACATGGAATATTTTCTCTCAGCTCTCTAAAGATAATAATGATAGCTTTAAAAATTCTTTTCTTTTCCCTGTCTAGTCTTTTTCCTTCAAACTATTTGTGTTATGATTGATTGTTTTGATCTTTATGTTTCATGCGAGGGACTTCCTTCAGATGTCTAGTGAGCCTTGGTCAACTGTTCATATTTAGGATTGAGATACTGAAAAGCTAATTGGAATCTTTGAGTAGTCTCTGGAACTTACCATTATCTTTAGGTCTTTCCTCTTGGCATAGTCAAATTTCACACAAAAGTTTATTCTAATTTTCTGCCTGGAGACTATACAGTTGACCTTTGAGCAACACAGGGGTTAGGGGCACCGACCCTCCTGTGCACTAAAGTTACACATATAACTTTTGACTTTCTAAAAACTTAACTACTGCTAACATAAATAGTCTATTAACACAGCTTTTATATGTTACATGTATTATGACTATTCTTATAAGAAAGTAAGCTAGAGAAAAATAAATGTTAAGAAAATGTTAAGAAAAAAATACATTTACAGTATTTATTGAAAAAATGTGTGGACCTGTGCAGTTCAAATTTGTGTTGTTGAGGGGTCAACTGAAGCCCAGATGCCAGCATTCTGGAGCCAGCTGGGTAACAAACTGAGACCTCTGTTTTCAGTATTTCCTTTGACTTCTATATAACCTACTCATCCTCCATTGTGCATGGTTTTCTCTTTCAACCTCTTGCTTATGTAAGTGAGGGATGGTCATCCGGTTTCATGGATTTTTAAGTACTTCTTAACCTGACTTTCAACTAGGGTTCCCATTTTTAACCTACATTTTCACCACTTCTAAAGATACTTGCTACTTCCAGTTTCAGAGCCTTTGAGGAGTCCTGCAGAGTAAATAGAAATGCTTATTAACTTTTCCCACAACCAATTTAAGGTTTACTACTGAAAAGCTATTTACTGTCTACGTCTGCTTTCCATATTTCAAAAATGTGTTAGGATTGTGTATTAGTGTATTCTCTTAAGTATTTATTCCTTTAAAAGTTATTAATGCTTTTATGGGTTTCTGGAGGAATTCAAATATGAATGCAATTTGCTGTCTACCTGGAAGGAAAGCCCCCTGTTAACTCTTTTTATTATAGTCACTGATAATTTTATTTGTTTTGTTCATTCCTGTATCTTCAGTGCCTAGAATAGTGTTCAGCCCTAGTGGATGGACATGTGTGTAATAGTGAGACCTCCCAGGAGGAAATGAAATATTCCACAATGGGATGGCCTGTTAGAATTGGAAATCCCTTCAGTAGCATTTGAAAATTATAAAACCTAACAAAGACAAATGCCTTTACATTATATTATATACTGATTGTTAAACGGTTACATTATATTTAAAGACAGCTGTATGATGTGGTCATCTACATGCACACTTGCATATAAATATGCTAGAATCCATAGAAAAATTTTTGTGTTGAATGAATAAAAGATTAGTTTAAATTGATTGATAATCTCTCTGATAAAAAAACACTTGCTGCTTGTTTAGCATTTTGTCTAAATTAAAACTTTATGTTTAAAGTTTCATTTTACTTTTTAAAGCAGTTTAGAGTGTTAGAGATGTTTTAATTAACTAAAGCAAATTGTACTATATTTAATTTTTACAGTGATACATTTGATATTGCCTGGAATGGCAGAACCCCTGGGATTCACCAGAGCAGACTATCAAGTAATACCTCCTTGCTTGACAAAGATGGGATATTCGCTAACTCAGCTAGCAGCAAACTATTGGAAAGAGCCCATGGAATTCTCACGTTAGTATTAATCAGTGATGTGGATCACTTTATGTGACAGATTTAAAATCCTGGGTGAAAAAAGAGGGAGTGATGGAGATACTACTTCATGAGTAGAATTTTGAGTTAAAGCAAGATTTAAAAATACTCAACATTTAGTGCTCTCAATCTTAACTATTATTAAGCTGGTATGTTTTTGTTTGTTTGTTTTCATCTCACCAGGAGAATCATGGTTGAATATATACTCATTATAGAGATGATTCTTTATTGCTCTTTGATGGACCTTACATCCAGAGAGAGAAAACACTATTAGCCCTTTTTAAGATTCCTGGTCTTTAACAGCAATTGTCCTTCAATTCTGGCAGTCCTAACAGATTGGACAGGAAAATTCTCTATGAAATGGTGAATGGTACCACATAGAGTGATAGATACATAACACTTATCCAATTGGTTTGAGGACATAGATACACCATGCATGGTAGACCACTTAAAAGTTTTTAGCTACCTATATCAACATATTCCAGATACTTCGAAAGCATAGTTTTGGACCACTAGCTAGGGGTGTGACTAAATTGGATTCCTTAATGGATTCCTTAATCCCTAAATTATTGTTTAACAGTATCATATTTCAATTTATGTGAATCTTGCTATAATCCAGAATTATGAATATACTAATTTAATTCTCACAATAACTCTGAGAGGTAGGTGGTATTATCATTCTTATTTTACATTACCATGTAATGAAACCAAGGCTTGAGAGGTTAAAATCATACCTTAGTAGGAGAAAGAGCTTGGATTCAAGCCCAGGTCTTTATGACTCCCCAACCCACATTCATCATTATTAGCTTGTATTATCTTTCCTTCTGTGGCCATAATAAAAAGTAATGGTCTTGATGTAAGTATGCTTTTGAATTATGAACAAGAAAAAAAAGGAGAAGAGAATTTTTAATTTCCCAAAGTGGAAAACCATAAGTTTTAGTGGAAAGTACATTTAAAAAATTCATTAAAATATAAGCATCTATTTAAACTCTTAAAATGACAGAAACAAATCTTCTGTAGTCATTAGAAATTAGAGACCTATTAACATCCAAAAGAAAATGAAACTTAAGCTTTAAATATATAACATTATGTTATTGATTATCAGGCATAAGTCTGTTTATACCTATATTACAGAGCAGGCATCTCTTTCCTTGTTATCGTTTTGCTATCATTCCTTCCTAAAGGTGCCTGCTTAGTTGAATCAGACAGCATTTTCATATGTGATCTGTGTTATGGAAATGGGTATATAACCCATTTCTATGGGTTATAGAGACCTTGAAATCATTCATCTTTATAATCGTTTTTTTTTCTGTGTATGATTTGTCTCTTTAGGAGAAACAGAAACTTCAAATTCAAGCCTGGCCTTCCAAAGGTGGGTATTATGAAAAATCTTTTACCTATTGGTGTCCTATTTCATAATTATATTTTTATTACTCATGCAAATAATCTTTAGAAATCAAAGACAAGAGATACCTTATTTATACCCAAAATAGGGACTATATTCATTCAGTTAAATCCATTTTAGAAGTAAGATTGGATGTTATAAAATGGCCAAGCTTGATAATTCAGGTAGATTTATTTGTGCTATATCTTTTTTCCTAGTATTTGTAAAACCTCTGAATAAAATGCAAATTTTTATTGAGTAATTGCCTCTTTACATAAGATCTTTTTATTTCTCTTTGAGCCAGGTTAATATCAAAATCTGAATTTTACTTGATTTTTAAATAATTTCTAATTAGACCTTGCCTAATTCTTATTATCATTAGCATTAGTTAGTTAAGTTTTTCTGTAAAGGTCCATATAGGCTTATAGACCTATGGTCTCTGTTCTAACTACATAGCTCTGCTATGTAGCACAAATGCAGCTATAGACAATACATAATTGAATGAGTGTGACTGTATCCCAATAAAACTTTATTTATGGACACTGAAGTTTCAGTTTCATATAATTTTCACACGTCCTTAAGTATTATTTTAATTTTTTTCAAGCGTATAAGTTATATAAAAAAAAGTGGGCAGGATTTGGGCCTTGGTGAAATCCTATAGACTCTTTCATACCTTGCTTTATGAAGCATTTTTGCATGCATCTGTACAACTTTTATAGCTAGTGAAAATAAGATTCAGTCACTTGTATTAAGGCACCTCTCATTTTATTGAGATTGGTAGTCTTTAGAATGCTTTATTTTTACTACAATCCCAAACAGTTAAACAACAGCAAATATTTAAAAAATGCAACTTTCAAAAGCCCCTAGCTCTCTGTTAATATAGTTTTCTTTTCTTAAATATATTTTTTATTGTTGATAGTATTACAAATATTTCCCACTTCCCTCTCCCCAAACCCCATCCCCCCACGTCCCAGGTCTCCATTACCCTATTGGCCATATCCATGGGCTATGCATATCCTCCTATATAATAAAAGCCTCATATGCTAAGTGTCTGGTCAACCATTCAACCAATCAAAGCGTAATATGCTAATGATATGCTAAGGCTGCTCAACCACTCGCTATGCGATGCACTGACCACCAGGGGGCAGATGTTCTGACCGGTAGGTTAGCTTTCTACAGGGGTCCAGCTGATTGGGACTGAGCAAGATGGCCAGACACGCCCTGGAGCCCTCTTGTGATCCCTCCCCGGCTAGCCAACCTCCCGTGTCCCTCCCGGCCTCGATCATGCACCGGTGGGGTCCGTTGGCCTGGCATGCACCCTCTCGTAATCTGGGACCTCTCTGGGGGTGTCAGAGAGCCGGATTCAGCCCAATCCTGCGGGCCAGGCCAAGGGACCCCATTGGCACACAAATTCGTGCACCAGGCCTCTAGTAAGTATATAAGTTCTTTGGTTTCTCTCTTCTTGTCCCCCAAACCTCACATTGAGGTATGTCAGTCTGTTCCATGCCTCCCTGCTTTATGTTAGTATTCCATAATGTAAATGTCCCACAGCTTTCTATTCATCTGATGATGGGCACTTGGGCTGTTTCCAAATCTTAGCTATTACAAATAATGCTGCTTTGAACATAGGGGTACATATGTTCATTCTAATTGGTGTTTTGGAGTCATTAGGATTTATTTCCAGAAGTGGGATCACTGGGTCAAATAGAAGTTTCATTTTTAATTGTTTGTGGAAACTCCATACTGTTTTCCATAGTGGCTGCACCAGTCTGCATTCCCACCAGCAGTAAACTAGTGTTCTCTTTTCTCCACTTCCTCAAGTGTGAAGTGATATCCCACTGTGGTTTTAATTTGCATTTCTCTGATGATTAGTGACTTTGAACATTTTTTTCATTTGTCTCTTGGCCATTTGTATAGTTCTATTTTGATTGTACTTTCCTTTTTCTCTCTTAGAATTTATTTCCACTCAGTTCTCTCTTTTTCTTTTCTGCTCATCAGATTATTTATTCACTTCATTTTTAGATTTACTTGTTGCTAG